TTGACGTCGTCAGTTCCTTCGTGGGTTACTCTAAGCATTTCCCACATTTCCTGTGCACTTTTACAAACTGAAATTCTATAAAACTCATCAAGATTAGAGCAGATGAAATAATGTTTCTAGCCCTAACATCAAATTGTGCTTTTCGACTTTCTTCTACAGTCCATCTAGAAATAGGTTTAAGAACGTCAACACCGTTCTCAGTAGTTTTAGGAACAAATGGACCATTTAAAATAGCGTCCCAAACGCCTCTATCTACAGACTCTAAAAAGATTTGCATTCGTACCTTCCAAAAAGGATAATTTTGACCCGCAAAAAGTGGGGGTCTGTTGATAGATGCACCTTCGGCAAAAGTTTGATTTTGTCCGGCCATTTTCGAAAAGTTTGAATGACTATCAAAGCAAGCTCTGATACCACTTGTTAGAATCGCGCAGCGGAATGTTCGCGTGGTCGGACAAAAACCAAGAGGGGGGGTGAATTGGTTTCTTAATAAAAATTAGGTTTTCAAAATTTTCCCCAAATTTTACCGATTAAAAACTGCGTAAATGTAAATAGAGAAGAGTAGAGAAGATTACACAGTAGGTTTATACTGGTTCGGATCAAAAGACCCTACGTCCAGTTGCTAATCACTCAAAAGAGGATTAACGCTGTCACTAAGAACAAATTGTTACAAACAGTTTACAAATCAAAGAGATAAAGTAAAGACAACACCTCTTTTGAAATCCACAAGAGATGAAGAACAGCTTTCCCCAGAAACGGCACAACACACAATCCACTAAGAACTCCACTTAGTGATTCTTATCGCTTCTAGCCCACACCAGGTTCCAAAAGCCCCCTTTCCTTGCAACAAACAGTTATCTGGCACTCACAGCACTTAACTTTTGTATGGAAAGAGTTGTTCTTACTTTAATACAGAAATCATCAATCTTCAATCTTCAATACTCTAAGTCTTTAAGCTCTTGGATCATCATCAAAATCAACATTCTTCATGATCATTATTTGCAACATCAAGTCCTTGAATGTTCAACACTACCAATTTTAGATCTTCAAGTTGGAAGGACAAAGGCAAGAAAGATGGGGTTGTTACTTTTAGTAGTTTCACACCTATTCCTACAAATACTCCTTCAAAGTCTGAAGAACAACCCTCTAAAAGAAGTAGAGATGTGAAGTGTTTCAAATGTCAAGGCCTAGGACACTATGCTTATGATTGCACTAACAAAAAATTTATTGTTCTTAGAGAGGGAGAATATATAAGTGAATCTGAGGTTGAAGAGGGATAGGAGAGTCAGGACATAGAGGAGGAGAAGATTCCAAAGGGAGATTTATTAATGAATAGGCGATTACTTGATGGGCAATTGAAGCCTATGGAAGAAAGCCAAAAAAACATTTTCTACATTAGATGTTTAATCAATGACAAGATGTGCATGATGATCATAGATGGAGGTAGTTGCACCAATGTGGCTAGTGCTAGATTAGTGTCAAAGCTAAATTTACCTACTAAACTACATCCTAGGTCTTATAAACTTCAATAGCTTGGTAAGGATTGAGAGGTGCAAGTGAGGAAGCAAGTTGAAATGAACATTTCCATTGGAAAATACAATGATAAGGTACTTTGTGATGTTGTTCCTATGGAGGTCAGTCACTTACTTTTGGGGAGACCATGACAATTTGATAAAAGAGTCAATCATGAAGGGTTCACCAACAAGATCTTTTTCATGCATTGTGTTCAAACCTTTGAGTCCATAAGAAGTGTGTGAGGATAAAAAGAAAATGAGAGAAAAATTTCTTCAAGAAAAGAGAGGAAAAAAAGCGTTAGTGAAACACTTGAGAAAAAAAAAGTGATCAAAAGAAGAGTGAAACATTTGAAGTGAGGGAGAACTATTTAGCCATAAAAAGTGAGTATAATGTTAGTTCTACATTCAATTTGTTAGACTTATCTCTTTTTTTATGTAGATGACGAATCCGATTTAAAGACAAATCATTTTCAAGAAGGAGAGAATAATGTGAACATGACCTATGATAAGGACTAGAGCAAGGGAAGCAAATGAAGCCCTTCAACAAGTATTGTTGGTTGACCAAATTGTGTTTTGGATTAATCAATTAATGGATTTTAGTTTGGTTTTATTGCAAGTTGTAATAAGGGCCAAATTGAAAATTTAGTTATCAGTCTTTGGGAGACCAAGAGGGTGTATAACTGATTGACTTTTGGTTGCCACAATTTCAGTTACAATCAGTCATTAAGTAGTATCAATTCCTAGGTTAATGAATCATTATTAATATTTATTTTTCTTTATTGAATCTTTGTAATTATGATGACAAAACTTTTATATAGGCTGAACCATTTTTATAAAAAATAACAAGTGAAATTTTATTCAGAAATATTAGAGTTTATCTCTTTTATCTTAGTGAGAGTGATTTTCCTAAATTCTTGAGTGATTCAATAACCTTTTGGCTGTATCAAAGGACTTTCATATCATTTGTGAGTTGTCTCCCTTAGGAAGAGTGATTCTTTCCTTCCACCTTATCACTAAATTCTTAAATTTCCTACAAGATTCTAACCCTAAAGATCTTAAATCACCCCTTATGATTTATATCAATAATAAAGTTATTTATTTGAGCTTGGATAGTGAAATAAAAATATTTTATATAAAAAAATAAAATAAAATCGATAAAGAGAATAAACGTAATGTAAGAATGAGTTGAATTTGGATTTAAAAAATTCAACCAAATATGACTTTTAGAATAAAAATAAGAGGAAAATGAATATTTCATATAAAGTTATTTATAATAATGTAAGTAAAGAGACAATCCTTTAATTTTTAATAGCATTTTATTATATATAATTGGAAGGTTATGAATTGTTTGTGAATATTATGATTTCATTTTATTTGTAATTGATATTTTCTAGTAAAAAAAGTTGAATATGTTTGAATTAAGTTGAATTAAGTTTCTTTTTATCAATGTATATGTTTGAATTAAGTTGAATATTATGGATTTAGAGAGGGTTAGTATTTAAATAAATTGTGAACTAGGGAAAAATAGACAAGAGGTTTAGAGATTTTATGATTATTCGATAAATTTCTATTTTTCAAATCTTTATTCTAATAGTACGATGATGCTAAATGAGTGGAATTAAAATGTTTGTGTTAAATTTAAACTTAGGTTGTATTGTAAAATCCTAAAATTGTTAGGTTTTTAAGACAGTGGTTAACATTATTATAGTATTTAACAAAGGTAGACAAGATAATTCTATAAGATAATATGATTTTAACTTTAGTACTTTTATCCAATATGATATTTCAACTCACACTTAAATTATAACATTCTTCCTCAAGTATGATTTCTTATACGTAAGAACACTATCTTCCTTAAACGAAAATATTTATTAATTATGAGTATTTATGTGATAATTCTTGTTAGGAAATATATTTCTTAATAAAGACTTTCACTGATATCATCATTCGTATCAAAGAAACTTACTTTTGCATAAGTTATGACCTTATATTAAACTTAACTAAATCAGTCACTAGACTAATTAGACTCTCATGCCACTATTAAAATCTTAGAAGAGGGTTAACAACGTTCTTAGATTTAACTAAAGGAGACAAGATAACATATAAACGAATATATATGACTTTACTTTGAAGTTAAAACTTGAAGAGGTCTTTCCCACTTATATTATTTAACTTCACTGGTTTTATTGATGTAAAAATTTTATTCATACTTTTTTATCATAAATCATCATCTGATCATGTTATATATATATATATATATATATATATATATATATATACTAGGAACTCAACTCTAGGGGAAAGAATGGAGAATTAGTTAGAGTAATTAGTATTGTAGCAAAACTAATTACAAATGAGAAAAAATTTGTCTCATTAATTTTTTATTTTTTTTTGAGAACGTCGTTTGATATAAAAGAAAAAAACACTAATATACTATTGAAATTATTTGTACTTCACACAATTCAAATAATTATTTATTTATTTATTACAAATACATCATTTATTTTACTATACCGTTAAGAGACTATTCAAATATAACATTATTAATTCATATATATATATATATATATATATATATATATATATATATATATATATAAAGTTTTAAACCAATATGAAAGAATCATATTACACATCTTATCCTATAAGATAAAAAATATTATAAATAGTTAAATAATAATTCTTATGTACATCTTACATTTATATAAACCGTCATTCATTTAAAAAAAAAATATATATATATATATATATATTCTAGAATAAAATGTTAAAAATAATTATTTATAAAATAGATGACAACAATCTTCTACTCTTGCAGTTTCAGATATTTTTTATGAAGTGTTTGGTGTAGCTGTAAGTGAAAATCGTGTCTATTTACACGTTGAATGTGATGCAATTCATTATCACCGTGGGATTTAAATGGTTGGGTTTAGGGGTAGACACAGTAAATTGAAAAGATTCAAACCTGCGACCTAACCGGTTTCTAGGTCAATAGGTCAAACTAGCCCAATATAAAATATTTTACCACCTCATTGGTTTCAGAATATGAAAAAACTCCTGAAAGTCCATTGCAAAGCCCTAGTTTTGTTCTGACTTCGGACTTTCGCAGCTCCAAGCATCACCCACATCAAATAACTTGGATCAATGACTAACATGAGTCTATATAATAGATGACAATACGTTGCAGAAATTTACCGTCTTTGACTCAAGTAATGGTCATATAGGCTAGGCTTATAGAAGGAGAGTCCTGTCAATTGTGGCCCGCTGATTCAGTTAACGATGAACGCCAAATATTCCAAGGAGGTTACATTCTGTTGACCATATTCTTGACCGAGAAACAAAATTCTTGAGGTACATTAAAAGCTTGTTCAGAATACAATACAAAGAAAGGAGAGAGTAAGACAGAGAGCTTAATCCATAACCGTTGATTATCTATCTCTTCACACTTATTACTTGTAATGTTCCTTTTAAGTTTACTAGTTACTTTTGCTACTTCATAGAAAAAATAGAGGCCAATCCCACCCTCCATCCATACAACGTAGACAAGCTGTGCCTTTGAGGGGTAGCAGAAATCAGACATGGTCTCGATATTTGGGGCTTAAGTTCCATCTTGCAGCTACTTGTCACCGTGGACCTGAATTGATTTCAAAGTTCAGAAATCAAGTAACTAGAATTCAATAGGTATTCTGTTAAGAGCACATCAAACATAATCAAGTACAGCAGCATTTGCATACTCACGAGTTTATAATAGCATATCAAGCTAAATCAGTCATCTCTACGACAGACTGAAAACAAGAACAGTAGAAGAAAATTCATGCTGATCCACAACAACATTGGTCCCAGTGTACATCTATGGCAAATTGAAATTCGAGAAAATCGCAAAAGAAATCATGGCAAGACACTCTATTATGAGAAACTAGTCTGTACACCAAAAGTGTATGAGGATTTTATTGTGCCATTCAATCATAGATTGTCAAGTAATAGTCTATTTGTTAACTTTTACAATAATTATCCAAACATTCATACTTAGCAAAAATTCTAATTTGGTGACCTATAAAATTTTCATATTGAAAGTACAAAGAAGTTCAACTTATTTACTGTTCGGTAAGTAGCACATGCGCACTGATAAATAGAGTGCATAACCAAGTTATTAATATTAAGTGGGAACAGAATGTAATTCCCTCAATAAGAAGGAGCATGTTGAAGAAAATGAAAAAAAAAAAAAATACATTGCAAGAAAACTAAAATTGAGTTATAAGATGATATCCCTAAAAATCAATAGCTACTGTTGGTTCTACAATTTACTCACACCGCATGGCAATTTAGAACGAGGAAAAGAAAAGAAAAACATAACACATACACTGGAGGAGATGGGCCTTCACTTGCAAATGTTGCCAAGCCTTGCCGTTGCTTGTGCTTAGGGTTCCCAGAGCAAATCACATAGATACGTCCTCGACGTTTAACTATCTGACAAAATTCACACATCTTCTTCACAGATGACCGCACCTTCATGGCTTCTGAAGAAAAAAAAAAAAACCTAGAAGCAATGATAAACATTCAGGAGCATATTACACTACACCTTAAAAGGGTTATAAAAACAACATTCCACAACCAGGACATGAAAATATAACAATTGAATGAATATATAACTATCAATTTCAATATCCTAACCATGTATATTTGTAACATAACTGTGTCCCTAAGGAAACAAAAACAGTTGAAGCAAATCAAACGGTGGGTGTTTCAAATAAATCCCCAATCGATATACAGTGCGAGACTGGAAGTTAACAAAAAGTGCGAGTAGGTACAAATAGAGTCACTGATCTCATTATTAATCTTCTTCTTATCAAATGTACAAGTAACAAATTCTGCAAAAATGGAAACGAAGGGAAGAAGGAAAAGAGGAACATGGCCACAACAATAATTTATAAATAATCGAAATGAAATTGAGAACGGAAACATGGGAAAGAGGCGAACCTTGTAGGGAGAGAGTGCGTAAGAAGTGAAGAGGGAGGGTACAGGGGAACTGAAACAGCTATGACGAGATTCCAGAGACGGGGTCGTCGAAGGTGAGGGTAGATGGAGAAGCAGAGACAAGGTTTGGGCTTTGGGGCACCAACGGCGAGTGAGTTTTCGGCTTGGATCAGGCCCACTAGGCGTCAGTGGGTGTAATCTGTCATCCCCCTTCCTTATACGATTATTTCAATTATAATAAATTACTCTTCAATCACCATAAAATAATTTTATCAACAAATATTTGTTTACATTGGAGAACCATGCCTAATTTGACACTGGGTTTTATGCCGCTTGAAATTAGAGTTGTAGGTTATTATAATTTTAATTGCAATTAATTACCAAAACCTAAGTTAGTTATAAAATTATATTTTTACATTGTGAATCCATAATTAGTTGAATGAGTTATTTATCTTGATTTTTTGCCCAACTTAAGACGCTACGTAGATTAATGTACGCAAAAATCCACCCTAATAATTAATATGAGTGTTTAATTTAATCTTATGGGTCACATTGTTAGCCTATATACTAATTTTATGGTCTTTAATACACACACACACACACACACATATATATATATATATATATATATATATATATATATATATATATATATATATATATATATATATATATTATTTATGTTGAAGCCACTTTCACATGTCATTGGAAATTACCTTAAACTTATATAAATAATTAATTTTTGTATTTTAAAATTAATTTATTTTTAAATTTTGGTATTATTGACAGAGAAATCATTAGAAAAATTATCCTTCCTTTGAGAATAAATAATATTCACAAGCTGACTTTGATGTAGGGTAATGAGATAAAATTTCATGTCAACAACATATGGAAAATTATGAAGAGATTATTTTAATACGAGAATAAATAATATATTATTATTAAATGATATAAAATATAAAAGAATACACTAATAATTTTTTAATATTTATGAGAAAAAATTAAAATTATAAATATATATAAATAAATACATTTAATGAAGATTAAATGAGGAGGTGAAAATAATAAACATAAGAATAAATTATAAGTTTATAGAATCTTTAAAAAAATCCACACTAATGATAATAATATCGATATAAAAGAATAGAACAAAAATTAAATATGGACAATATTATTAAAAGATATAATAAAATAAAAAATAAAAAATAAAAACAATAAACCCGTTTTAATCATAGTTACATGGTATTAGATTAGACTATTGTAATTACAATTGAATAATATTTTTTATTAATGAATAAGTAAACAACATACCTATGTTTTTTTTTCACTGGTATAACAAATAATCCTAGAAATAAGTATCTAAAAAGATCCAAAAGAAAGCAAATAGAAAACAAACTAAACACAATGAAATCAGCCAAAGTTAGCAAGAAAGAAGCGCGGTGACTGATAGAATAGAGTAGTGCAACGCAATAAAAAACTTAAACGGCATTATTCAAGTCGCATTTGCCAAAAAATCGTATCGAAAATAGTGAAAGACCTAATCTGTTCCTAACAACGCTAACTTCTTTGACAAGGCATTCAAAAAAAGAACATCTAACTTGCATGCATTTTCTTCTTTTGTGAAGCGAGGTGTGGCAAGACTATTGGAACATTTATGTTAATTATTCAGTGTTGTGGACCATAGAAAGCAAAGCAAAATTCAACTTGTTTAATAACTACTGGTGGGTACCAATATTATAGGTCTGAAGAGCCTCTGAAGTGGCCCAAGGCTAGGTCGTGGGACTAGCGACCAATTTTCTACACGGGTCCTTCTTCTTCACGCTCCCATATTCGTACGACCAGACCAGCGACCAACTTTGGAAAGAAATTACTAGAGGCTCCCACCAAGAGTTTGTTACAAAACTTGATTCTAGCTACATACTTATTTTAAATGATGAGTTTATGAATAAGATTTTATTTAATAAAAGTTCTTAAATTATCATTTAAGTCAAGTGTGTGCCCCTTGATCTAACTTACAAGTAGTGTGCTCTGTTTTTTTTAACAAAAAGATAGGGAGAAAATTGGCATGAGAAAAATGAAAGCATATTGAAAAAGAAAAAAAATTAATTAAGGTGTTTGGATTAGGAGGAAAAAATGATATTTGGATAAAGTACCGAAATAAATGTATTAAAAAATCTAAAATATATGTTTTTCTCTCTGTTTTATTGTATATGAAAAAAGTTAATAGAAAAATAGATATAATTGATTATATTTTGATTTTAATATATATTTTTATTGTGTAATAATTATAATAATATAAATAAATAAATATAAAATAATATTTTAATTAATCAAATCATTCATATATTTTACAATAATTTTATCAATTTCTTTTTTATTTTTTGCTTCTTTTTTCTCCTCCATCAAAACAGATCATTTTACATTTTCTTTCTTGCAAGTTTTTTACTCCTTAGAATCCATTATTTAATTTAAATACAAACTAAGTTATATTTAAACTATCATATAAATGGATTAAAAAAGGAAATAATGTAATTTAAATCATAATTTTATTTGTTAACTTAATTCGTTTTTACTATTCTTGAGAAGAAGTCCATTTTTACAACTCTCATGCATATTAAAAAAGTTTAGGGTAGTGAATCACCTGTTGGTGAACCTAAAAAATTGGTTTGACAGAAAATGTAACATTTTTCAAGAATATTAAAAATTATATTTTTTATTTTTAAATAGTAAAATAATTTTCTTTAAATTCTAAAATTTCAAAATTTTGAAACAATTTCTGTCCAACTACTATTTGAACATAAAAATATTTGTCTCTGTAAGTATAAATTATGGTATAAAAATATCCCAACCAAACGTATTATGAACTTCATTAGAGGTTCTTTAAGCATAATATTTTAAATTAGCGATTGTTAATCCAGGAAAAACCAACTTGTTAACGGCAGCACAATGGTGACTATCATAGATAAAAGAGGTAAGTTGGGGAAACATGATTGGAGCGGCATTGTTTATTATTATTATACATAAAAAGAATGAATGGTTGATGCAAGACGTTAGGTAAAAAGCATTGCCTCTTTTTCTTCACATGATGGAGAGGCACGCTTACATACCATGACCCACATAGAAACACCCCTATGATTCCGAGAAGCTTCCTCTTTGTTCTTTTAACGCTGTCTTTGTTTCGACTGATATACTATTAACGAAGATAGAAGCACGAGGATTTTATAAGTTTGGTTGAATAAAAATATGACGAAATGAAAATTTAGGAAAAGTGGGAGATGCGAGAAAGAGGTTCTTCGCTGATGCACGAAGAAAAGAGATGAAAGTTCCCTGGACAAATTGAAATGTTCAACTTACCCTCACTCTGCAAGATTCACTGCTGCATGCATGCAGAGAAATTCTTAAGAATATATGCAAAATTGAGAAAATATAATTTATTTTCATTACTATAATATAAAATATATATTCCAAAATATAACTTATTTTCATTAACCGCTATCTAAAGTCTCAATTATTTGAAAAAGTGATCGATCATTTGGAAGAGTAATCGATCATTTGAAAAATTATATATTGTAAAATATAATTAATTTAATTTCTATAATATATATATAAATGAAAATAAGTTATATTTGCAATATATATTTTATATTATAGTAATTAATATAAATTATATTTTAGAATATATATATATATAAATTATATATTGTAAAATATAATTATTTTAATTTCTATAATATATATATAAATGAAAATAAGTTATATTTGCAATATATATTTTATATTATAGTAATTAATATAAATTATATTTTAGAATATATATATATATATATATAAATTATATATTCTAAAATATAATTTATTTTAATTTCTATAATATATATATAAATGAAAATAAGTTATATTTGCAATATATATTTTATATTATAGTAATTAATATAAATTATATTTTAGAATATATATATATATATATATATATAATTTTACATAAAAATATACTCGCTAATAAATAAGACTTTAGATAGCGGTTAACGTGGAACCGCTTATCTAAAGTCTCGATTATTTGAAAAAGTGATCGATCATTTGGAAGACTAATCGATCATTTGAAAAATTATATATTGTAAAATATAATTATTTTAATTTCTATAATATATATATATATATAAATGAAAATAAGTTATATTTGCAATATATATTTTATATTATAGTAATTAATATAAATTATATTTTAGAATATATATATATATAAATTATATATTCTAAAATATAATTTATTTTAATTTCTATAATATATATATATATATAAATGAAAATAAGTTATATTTGCAATATATATTTTATATTATAGTAATTAATATAAATTATATTTTAGAATATATATATATATATATATATAAATTATATATTCTAAAATATAATTTATTTTAATTTCTATAATATATATATATATATATATAAATGAAAATAAGTTATATTTGCAATATATATTTTATATTATAGTAATTAATATAAATTATATTTTAGAATATATATATATATATATATATATATAATTTACATAAAAATATACTTGTTAATAAATGAGACTTTAGATAGCGGTTATTATTCTATTTTCATTGTATTTTATATTTATTTAAAATAATAATTTACAATTTTATTATTAGTTTTCATAATTATTTGTTTTTATTAATCAATATTAATTATTATTTTATATTTTATAATTATTTAATTATTAGTCAAATAATTTATTTAATATGTCAAAATTAATTTTTTATGGATATGCAATGTACATAATTTTGTAATTGTTTATTTATATAATTTTTAATAACTATTTTAAAAAAAGTTAATTTTTTAAATTTGTTTCCAATTACAAACACTTTTAAATTTGTTTTTTCTTTCAAATATATAATCAATGTTAAAATATGGATAATTAATTAAAAAATTATATTTATAATAATTTGAACATTATTTTATACACAAGGGTAAAATGGTAATTTTCTTAAATAACCAATTAAAATTATAATTTTTATATCTCATATCAATCAAATCATTCACAATTTTTCATAAACTTTTCTTTCACATTCTATTCATTCAAACAACTTTAATTTCACCTCCATTTTTCATCAAATACTTCCTTTTTCACACTCCTATTTCCACTCTCTCAAATCACTCCAACCAAACAAAGCCTAAAACAAAACCAAATACATAAAAAATAAGTTGATGAAGTCACAGAGATCGGTCAGATATGCCTATGTCACATTGCTTTGTGGCTGCGGTTGAGAATGGGAGTGTGCGTCACCCCCACCCAAATTGCCTTCAGTTTTGATTAGTGGTCGCTTAAAACTCCCCACATCACGAACCATGTTCAAGACTGCTGCCAATTAAGAGTCTCACAGTTAAAAGGGTCACTACCAGCACCAATTATTTGAATAATATATATTATATTGTAGGTGTACCTCACGTTTTGCATTAAGAAACATTATTATTGCAGCCTAATGAAGACCAAAAATATGCTTCCAAGTTCCTAGGACTATAGAAACTGTATTGCTTGATCGATCGATTTACCTAGAGGTCGCCTTCCACCTATTACATTTTGTGGAGTGTAAACACTTGCCTCGTTAGGATAATCAGATAAGGGATCATGCAGAGGTAGAATGTCAATTCACATACAGTAACTTCGTTTTGGTCAAAAGATATGCGAGTTGGATAAATTTTGAGAGGAAAAGTGGGAACAAAGCATATTCTCACCGATCAGTGAGTGTCGCTGTTGTTTTCCAAGATGAGATTTCTCGGTTGGGCCATTCGTCATTAACTTTTTCTTTCAGAAGTTTATGTAATGGATAAATGAGTGATTTATTTTTTCTCTTATCTGTTTCCACAGATCAAAGAAAACAACTATAAAGAAGTTGAGAGAATTCCATAATTGCAGGGATTTCCACTTCATTAGCATTTGTCTAATCATAAGGGCCCTCCGAAGGAAAGAAATAATAGTATATTAACGCAACACTGAAGACTTTTCCGGGCCCTGAAGTGCCAAATTTAATTTTAAAATATTTCATATTCGCAGATCACATGCTTTTGTTGCCTTCTATATTTCAAACTGAATGATTGCCGCACTGTCATGCTGCACGATGCTTTTTATTTTTATTATATGTGTAATTCATGATTTTGTCCCTTACCAAAAAAACTGCCCTCAATTTTGTTGCTATCAACATTATTTTGGTCCCAAATTTAGAATTTACGAATTTTAACCAGTTCAAATTAAACTGGAATCATTGTAAACAGAGCAGCTAAACTTGTAATTAAGTGGTAACTAGTGAACATATATTAATCACCACAGCACATCTTTCACCGGTAGTTAGTGTATCACTTGGTTAGATATCATCATCAGCATCAGCACCCACGTTTGTGCAGAGACATTTACAAGAAAACCCAATTGTTTTTTATTATTTTGCTGCTTTTCCCAACCGAAAGAATTTACTCTGCTTGTTTCTCCCTGGGGTGAAATATGATTGGTTCATTGGTTCAAGTTGCAACCAGTACCACGAGAACTTCACATGGGTTCTGTCCAATGATAACCGAAGCATGTTGGAGTGATGAGAGGGGATGAGGACATGGTGGTGCTATTCCAATTTCTCTTGTTTCTGATTGGTTCGGATGATTAGTCAAACACTGAATATGTGTTTGTTGGGCAACCGACCCTTTGGTATTTTGGAACATGCAACTACTTTCACGCCAACAATGCTGAATAATTTAATGCTAAAATAAACTACAATGACATAAAATACAAAAATAGAGTGAGAAAATATGGGATGCACAGATAGGGTAAGAGCCCCACACACTGCTAACTCGAAATTTTGCTTTCAAATACATGCAGGGCCAGAAGGAATGAGACAAAGGAGCCGATTTAAAGATTATGTTCCGCATTGAATGCAAACCAAGTTACCTAACTAATCTTTCTGTTGCCCATGTTGCTCTCTGGAGCCCTTCAAGCTTTTGCTTGTCTCCAACACCCAATTGCTAAGGGTCTCAATATAGTTTCGGAGACAACCCAACAAATTTCAGATTTGATACAATAAGTTATTGTTTCCACCTCTTTTTCCCTCTCTTTTTTTGGGGGTGTGGAAACTGAGAATTGTACTATACGATTAAAAATTTGTTTGGAAATCCATTACAACAATAATGAAACTGAAATTCAAACACAAACCAAGTCCTATTCGTGGGAAAGATGAAAAGAAATACTTAATTAGTTTCATTTCTGTCCTGAAAACTACCTAGGATTAAAAAAAAGGAGTAAATCCAAGCTTCCAAATTGGTCAAATTTGTGTCTCATGGAAATTTTTGGGGAGAGGGGGGATGAATTGTGTGTTTGGTAGATAATCCGCTTTCAAATTGGGGAAAGTAACGGACGCCTTGCTAGATTTAAATATTATCATGAGTCGAATACATGAATTTGGTTGAGCGACGTTATGAGGTTAGGTCAATGTCAATTCTTAATTTAACTAATGCGTTGGCTTCATATGCTTGCTTTACCAGAAAGAAACTCTTTTGCCCATGATAATTTTCACTTTCCATTACAATTATACATAATTTTGACTAAGGCATAAATATCTTGACGAATAAAAGCACAAGACGTTGTTAAATTATCCTACGCGCGACAGAGATATGCAGGAAAAAATACAAGAAGTAACAAGCAACTGCATCGTGTTTGGATCCGACCCTAACCTTCCTCTAAGAACAAAACTATTCAGTTGGTTCTTCATCTTCAAAGTTAACACCAAATAATTGTTCTCCAAAAGAAAAGCAAGCCTTAAATAAAAGCTACAAAATATCATCTTACAATTGGAATTAAATAAAATAAAAGAAAACTAGTTCTATTTACATGTCAGAAATGACTACAATATGCAGAGAAATGGATGAGATGAGTACAAATTAACGTGGAGAAGGGACAGAAGAAGATTATCCAAAAATATGAATTAAATCCTCTTCACGATTCACAAGACACTGATCACTGTGTCCAATCACCACATCGAAGAGACCAACTGTAAGGGTTTGTGGTGGACCCTCCCTCTGCAACTTCTATACTAGTTGTCGTTGTAAAAATAAAAGAAAAGAAAACTGAGAAGAATAATCACAGAATATTCATTCTTCGGTCACAGTAAGACCAAAATCAACAAGAGTAGGCCAATCGCTGGGCCACACGATCCCTAAGAATCCCGTTATACAAAGCTACCCTGTTCGTGGGCATTTCTCCAATCTTCGTCTCCTGGTTAAAACTCTTCTGAACCTTCTTCGATCGCAAGTTTCGGTTCCTGAACTCCTGTCCGTCTCTGCAGGACTCCACCACGTCCTCCGCAAAGTGCACGCGTTTTATCTTCTTCCTTTTGCTCTTCTTCCCAGCTGCACAAGAACCCACAAGGCCACAACAACTGTGTCAGCAAAAGCAAACAGAGGAAAATATAAAACGGGATTTTGGGCATGTGTTTGTGAATGGTGTGCGTGGAGAGAGAGGGGGAGGCGGGACCCACCATTGGATATGCAAGATCGTAGAACCGGCGGCGGAGAAGGAGCGATTTCGTGAACAGCGAAGTGGGGAGGCGGGAAAGATTTCTGCAGGCGGAGAGCGAGCAGGATGACCGTGCCGGAGACAGCCATGGCGGTGGCAACGGCCACTCCTTGCGCGCTTATCATTGAGCACATGGGTGGAAGAAAGGAAAGAGAAGTTTGGGGTTCTGATGAATGAACGAATGGGTTGTTGTGGAGAAGTGGAGAATGATGAATGAGGAGTTTTTTTTTTTTCTACGGGGATGAGCAATTTTATATAGTAATGGGTGAAGTATAAGTGCAGCAGCAGATGCCATAGTTAATATAATATATTAATGATATTGTTATAATAATATTTTAAATTAAATAAAATGGAAAACTGTTTTATTAATAATAATAATAATAGTAATAATAAATTATTAAAATTAAACAAAGAAAAAGCCAATGATAGTAGAAAAAAATGTGGTAGCCAGGGGTATGTATTACGCCCTGTTGTTGGTATTTTATTCTTTTTTTTTCACTGACGTATTGATTGGAACTTTGCGTTGCGTGTACATTATTTTTCTTACAAAGTGAAAATGATAACAAAAGTTATCGTTGATGTTCCTTGGTAAAGAGGAAAAAAATAAAGAAAAAAATATGATGGGTCGTTTTAAAAATTAAAAAATATACGTATGTGAATGAATGGTGGTCTCACTCTTTCTCACCTTATTTATGTCAATTTTGTTTCTTTCCATCCTTCTTTCTTTTATTTTTTCCTCCTCTCCCTCTTTTCATGTCATACCAACAAAACTTGATTTATCTTGAAAAAATATATAAAATGAAAGAACGAGTAGATTATCTTGATTCAAGGAATGAAAGTGAATAAATAAATAAATAACATTTCATAATTGATTTAAAAATTTAAAAATATAATAATTAGATCAAAGAGTCAAAAACACTATAACGTTCTTTAAAGTAAATAGAAAATAATATGAATTAAAATTTAATAAGTTATTCAAATATATGAATAATTATATAAAATTATTTAAATATTACTTTAAATTATTTATAATTTTTCTACGTATTAACTATAAAAATTGTTAAATTATAATCTAAATAAAATTGACAAATAAATAAATAAAAAGTACAAAAATAAGAGTAGTGATGTTAATCAACGTAATAACAACAACAAATCTACAAATATAAAATTATTTTCTTAACATAGAGTCATCCAATTTTTTTTAAAAAAAGATAAATAATATATTAATAAAGTTAAAGGATTTAGGATTTCAAAATAGTATTTAATATAATAATTTTTTTCAAAAGCTTGTTTTTTTTTTCAAAATCTTTTGAGACACGTTTAATATTAAATTATTTAACTTTGTTAAAATCTTTTAGGACCATCCCATATTTGATCAAGCACATTATGTGTAGTGGTTATGAGTGTTATAATGATTTGTCTACTAGGATTATATTGATTATCGTGGTTGTGACCTCCTATATGGTAACACATGATTAATTTTAGACATGTTTCATCAATTAATTTGACCAATTTAATATAATCTAACTCTCTAAGTCAATTACATTTATGATCAATAATCAAGTAATTCTAATATCATAAGACGTGCACCCAATTAGGATGCTGTAAATTTGACTTAACTATGATATATAATGTGACATCCTACAATAATTAAGTATGTGTGGAATTTTAGCAAAACTAATCTTATTACATGATATTTGAAATTGGTCAGTTAACTAATAATTATTTTTAACCTTCATCTTAGTCCTGTTATCATTGAGATTATCACTTTCAACTGCTTCCAAAATAACATAAACATTTTATTATTTATTTTTTAATACAAATCATCGAGATCTTAGAAAGATATATTATTAAAATTACACATTTTATCATTTTATGACTCTTACTAAAACAGTCAATGTGGTTTGATAAATGGTCTTGTAGTGTTACATAAACATAATCACAAAATACGCAAAATTATAATTACCAACATGGGGATATCCATTATCGATTCACAACTAATAGAGGAACTGAAAAAAAGGATTATGATTTATCACATAAAATAATGAAGTGATATCATTTTTAATTTTTTTATTAAAATACGTACAAATACAAATTTAGACCCAGTTAATGGGATAACAGGAATATTACAAAGAAAGTTTGCAAATTTCGTGGTAACCTTACTTTTGTTGTCCCTTCTTCTTCTAGTCTCTTGGCTTTTTAACAAATATAATGTTTTTTATTTAAAAAAAAAAACTAAAAATCAATGAAATTGTCCATGTTAAAAGTACAAGCCAATCAATAGTAAAATAGTCCATCACCAATAAAATATTAAAATATATACACCACATATTTTAGTTCTTGATAAAAATCAATGAATTATACATACCAAAAATATAATCCAATTAATCGCAAAATAACACACCACCAATATAACATTAAAACACGTACACCAAATACCAATATCATTTGTAAAATATATAAAATTACGTATCTTAAAAATCCATCTATCAATGACATCCATAAAAATCGAAAAATTACATACCATAAAGATGCATATACCAATGTCATTATCAATGTATGAATGGATTTTTTTTCTTTTAAAAATATTATTATTAAATTAACTTTTATCATTGATAATTTTAAAGTTACATTCTTATATTTTCTTAACAAATAATAATCATATTATCTAATAAAAATCAACAAGAAAAAAACAGGACAAGTAGTTTATTGTAAAACGTATTGTATAAAATGAAATGGAACGGGTGTAGTTTATCTTATGAGATTCTTTTTGAATGTTTGAATACCAATATAGTTTAATAAATAATGATAAGTTAGGAAAGAAAAACTTGGTGTTGAAAAAGAAAATACTTTGTAAGATAGAATAATATATTTAGAATATATGAATGCATAATCATACATAATTTGGTATTTACAAATAAATTCAGGATAGCTTTGATGCATATTGATAAAGTCTAATTTATTTCTTCATAATTATAATTTTATAATTTTTTAAAAATTATTACAATAGGATTATCTTGTTATACATCATTACATGTTTACATGTATATTAATAAGATCTTATTTCTTTCATCACAATTTTAATATTATAAAATTTTCAAAATTATTATAAATAAGATCATATAGTTATTATTATAATTTTTATAATCTATGTGTTTTTATATATTTAATTTTTATCTTAAATAATTTTAAATTTTGTTATGATATCTTATTTATTATAAGAGACGTCTTTTTAATTGAAGTTATATTATCTCAATTGTCTCAAATTGTTAAACATAGTTAGACCTCATCTATCTTAGTTTTTAAATAAAACTTATATATTTATTGATTATTTTATCTAATATAAATTGATTTTAAGTTAAAATTTTAAAAAAGTGAAAAAAATAAACATATATCATCTTAGTTTTGTATTAAAAGCTCAAAATAGGAATATATAAAAGTTTTAATTTTCAGTTAAGAGACTCTCTGCCTACGTTTGAATTCATAGACGGAAAGTCTCTTTCCAACAAAATTCAAAGAAAGATGAATTTTTCAAACATTAATTTTGATTTAAAAAAAAAACTAATATTCCCATTCTTGTGAAAAAGGACATAGAAATGTTAATATGTAATGCATGATGGATTATCTAGAATGAGATAATAAATGATGTAATATTTTTTAAAAAATATTTTTTTAAGTTATAATGTTAATAAATAATAAAAAAATTAAAATAAATGTATTTATTTTTAATGTTATTTATTTATCTTCGTTTATATTTTATTTTTCTTAATCTACTTAAATCCATTTTTTATTATCTTTTCTTTAATTTTTCATTGTCTCAAATTCACTATCAATCCAAATAAAGGCTCAACGTTTGCTAAAAAAAATAATTAAATATTTTGTTTAATTTTTAATTATGTCCGATTGTAAATCAAGTTTTACCTTAATTTTGTCTGAAAAGTCATATTGGAAATAAAACAAAATATTACTTTTATAATTAGTTTATAAAATAAAGTTCATTAAAACTTAAATATACAAAATGTAATCTAAGCATACACTATATTTGGTGACATATCTTTGCTTAATTAAAGTACATATTATATATATATATATATATATATATATATATATATATATATATATTTCAAATTTTGTTCATAGTGAAATTTCCTTTTCCATAAAAAAAAGTAGCACTTCATTAAAAAAAATATAGACTTATAATAACAATTTTTTCTTAAATGAATATCAAAGACTATTGAGTGGAGTAATTATGTTAAAGCTTTAGAATAACAAATAATACACTAGTTCAATATTAAGAATCATTAAAATAAGTAGCAAGTTAAGTTTCATTTTAGCCTGAATTAGATGTTAATACATTTTTGTGTCTATGTCATGGGATCAAATAATTAGAGGAATATTGATAAAATGTCACGTAAAGCTAGTGAAAATAACGTTTGTGAGATTTGATTTTGAAGAAGAAAAGAGAGGATAGGGATATGAGGAGATAGGATATGGTTTTGCAATCTGCACCAAAATAATGTCATGCGAATGCCCAAGGTATTGGGTGGCGCGTGCATTTCACACGTCACTTTGAAATGGTCATAAACTACATTCTAATTACTGGGTGTTGGAATATAAGGACCCTCGAGATTCCCTTCACAATTCATAAATTGTCTCAGTTTCATTATTATCATCGAATTCAGAAGCGGAACACAATTTGCAACCTTATTGAATTTGTTGAACAGAAACAAACATAAATGACGGTTTTTAAATGTCTGAAATAAAAAAATGTTTATGTCGTTATCCTTTGTGAAAAAGAGAAAGAGAGGGAGAAAGTAAAGAAGAAGAAAAGAAATGGTGGAAGAAAAAGCAAAGAAAGCAGTTAAAAAAGTGTGTGGAGAGTGTGAAGAATCACGTCCAATAAACGAGCTTCTGTCATCCATGACGTGTTTGTCAGGCCCATAGTTCTTTAATTCAAATCATATTCAATGGGTTTATCACATTTTTTAATCAACAAAATTTATATATAATTCCAGAACCACCTACGTCACACTCCATTCATAGACTTTGAATTTCAAAACGTAACCCTCTCAACTTCATCCTCTACCTCATTTCTCTTTCTCCAACTAAAACCTTCAATTCAAGAAAAAAAAAA